GCCTACCGGGAGCTGTAGTTCGCGACACCGAGCCTGGGGGCGGGGCGGGCGCTCCCAGGACCCCCTGCGCGGGACGCACACGGCGCCGGGCAAGGGGGCGGGGCGAGTAGCTCCCAGGAGACCCCGCGCGTGTCGTGTTCGCTGCAACGCAGGCTCGGCTGCAGCGCGGTGCTCGGGGGGGCGGGTCTGGCCGGATCGGCCCGAGGCGTTTTGTGTTTGCGTGATCGCCTTCTGCCAAAGAAGGCCACATACTGGCGAGAGGGCCTTCCCCGCTGATGGTGAAGTGGTCAAGCGAACGCGGAGCACGGAGAAGGGCGCCGGCGACGTCGCCGTAAATGAGCGTACGTAAGGGGACGGGGTCCAGCGCGCTTCCCCTAGTGGGACCCTTCTACGCCTGCGCATGGAGTTCCGAGGACGCCTTCCGTTGCCGTGGAGACAGGCTCCGGGAATGACGTCCCGCCTAGAAGAGGCGGAGCTTCCATAGGTGCAGCGAAAAGGCATCTAATGTTTTGTTTTAAATTTTATTTGAGACACTAAACTGCTCAGGCCGGCCTCCGACATGAGATTATGCTTCAGCCTTCCATGTAGCTGGGATTATAGGCGTCCGTGAACACGCCCGACTTTTTGATCTGGGCTGAGGGTTAGACCAGGGCCTTTCCGCTGAGCTGCATCTACTTTTTTATTTTGTATTTCTAGGTGGGGGTCTCGCTGAATCGCTGAACTGACCAAGCAGGGCACAGATTTGTGATCTTCCTACTTGTGCACCGCTACGTCGGGTTTAACCAACTTTATTTTTCAGTATTGGAGATTAAACCCAGGCCTGGCCAGGCGTGGTGGCGCGCCCCTGTAATCCCAGCATTTGAGAGGCTGAGGCAGGAAGATCGTTGCGAGTTCGAGACCAGCCTGGGCTACAAAGTGAGTTCAAGGCCAGCCTGAACTACATAGCAAGACCCTGTCTCAAAAAAGACAAAAATAAAATAAAATAAACCCAGACCTGAAGACTGCACTATGTCTCCAACTCTTTATTTTATTTATTAATTTATTTATTTTTGTCATTTTGAGATGGTCTTGCTATGCAGTTCAGTCTGGCCTTGAACTGACTTTGTAGCCTAGGCTGGTCTCGAGCTCGAAATGACCCTAGCCCCCAGCCTCCCAAGTGCTGGGATTACAAGTGTGTGCTACCACGCCCGGCCTCCAACTCTTTTTAAGTTTTGGTACAGCGTCTCACTAAGTTGTCCAGGCTGGAACTTGGAACCCTTCTTCCTCAGCCTCCCAAAGGGCTAGCATTACAGGCATGTGCCCCCATGCCTGATTTATCCACACTTTTTTTTGTTTTCTTGAGACAGGTTTCCTTGTGTAACTCAGGCTGGCCTTAAACTCAGTATATACCCAGGTTGGCCTTGGACTCACGGTGATCCCCCTGCCTCAGCCTTCTGAGGTGCTGGGATTACAGGTGTTCATGTGCCACCGTGCCCAGCTGTGCAACATTTTTTGATGTCTTGGTTTTAAAAATCTAAGTCATGCCAGTACTTTTTTTTTGTGGTGTGGGGTTGAAACCCAGGGCCGTCCACCTTCCAGCCAAGTGCTCTGCCACTGGGCCCCCACCTCTGTAGTCCTCATTCCCACAGGACTGAAGATGATAAAAAACAGCCCCCAGCGGTTCTCCCCTGGGAGCCTCTGCCTGCTGCTGTTTGCTGCCTTAGGCATTTCTGCGGACTTTTCCGTAGGCTCCACAAGAACATTGCCGCCCAACCTCTGCCGTCTGCAGCACTCCCGGTCATGTCATGGTCATGGCCATGTTACCTCCCTAGCGCGCAGTGTGCCCTTGTGACCCCCCGCCTCCATCACCGCGGCCTTAACTTTCCTTGTGGGTCGGGTTGCCGAGGACCTTGCTGAGCCGTGCTGGTTCTGTCCAGTCCCCCACAGCTTGGTCATATGCTATCAGTAGGATTTTCCAAGGACTCTGTTTGGTTCCAGACCTCGAGGGGCCTCGTCCCCCTCCAGCCTAAACCAGCTGCTGCCCAGCCCACCACACAGCTCCGGAGGCAGCTTTTCTCCTCGGCCCCAGGAGCGCCTCCTCCTGTCTTGGGTCCTCTTTCCTGGAACCTGCCGTCTTCCTCTTGGTTCACCGCCCTGCTTTGCTGAAGTGGGTCTCTACAGGGCCCGAAGGGTGTGTATCTGAGCATGCGCTTATGCTGGGCATCCCCAGCCCCCTCATTCTGTGTTCTGACTGGGAAACAACCCCTGACCACTCTCGCTGCCACACTTTCCCTGCAGGACTGAACCCAAGCCGCACCTTGAACATTTGCAGACACTGATCCACCCACTTGGGCCGTCTCGGACTCCAAAAGACCAAGCATTTGCTGGAACCTGGCCCCCTCAAGCCCCGTCCTGCAGCCCCACGCCGTGGCCCACTGCAGACACAGGCACCCCTTTGCTTTCCTGTACGCCTGAGGACACAGTGAGGCCCCCAGTCAATCCGTTGCACCGACCCTGGGACCCCAACAGGTCCCGACGTCTTGGGAAACTTGGAGCATCCCTCGTGGGAGATCCCTTCCCGCTGCTTTCAGGACCACTGCAGCGTCCTTTTTGGCTGTATGGGAGCAGTGGAGTAATCAGCACGATTCTGAAGAAGTGAGCCTGGAAAAAGAATTGCCAGGGAGATGCTGCGCTGGCCACAAGGGCCTGCTCCATGCTGGTTGTGCGCAGGTGTCCCAGCAGGGCCAGAGGGAGCCCGGCTGAGTGAGGGCAGTGTCAGGACAGTGTCCCAGCCATGGAGGCTCAGCCGGTGGCCCAGAGCTAGGAACTGCAGGAGAGAGATGATCCACTGCTGCTCCTGTGTGTTTTCTTTTTTTTTTTCTTTTTTTTTGGGGGGTTACTGGGAATCGAACTCAGGACCTTACCCTTGCCATGCAGGCACTGTGCCCCTGGGCTACATCCCCGGCCCTCTCTCCTGTGGTTATGCACAAGAGGGGACAGGGAAAGGGCGGGGGCAGGCGGAGGCGGTTCCTTGGGGCTGGAGAGCACAGCCTCAGCCCTGCCACCTGGCCTCCGTGCCTAGGGGAGGCTGGTGGGGCCAGGGCAGCTGGGGTTTGCAGTCTCTGCCTGGGGTGCTGGTGGGGAAGCTGTCTGGAGGGGCCCAGTGCAGCGGCCCAAGGGGACAGGGTGGCCAGGATGGGCCCTGATGTAGGACCAGTCAGAATCGGCGCCCCTGGGGAAGTGGGGATTCCTGGCTGCCCTCAAAACCACCATGGATACAGCCGGGCGTGGTGGCACACACCTGTAACCCCAGCACTCGGGAGGCCGACACAGGAGGATCGTTGCAAGTTCAAGACCAGCCTGAGCTACAAAGTGAGCTCAAGGCCAGCCTGAACTGCACAGCAAGACCCTGTCTCAAAAAGACAAAAAAAAAAAAACCCCACCATGGTAACTGCATTATGGGGCACACCTGTAATCGAAGCATTTGGGAGGCTGAGGCAGGGGATCAGGACTTTGAGATCAGCCTGGGCTCCACAGCAGGACCCTGACTGGCGGGACCCTTCCCAAGAAGTGTGGCCGGGGCCCTCCCGCAGGAATACGGTGGAGGCAGGGAGCCTTCTCCGAGCCAAGAAAGACAACAGTTCTGAGATACTGATTCTCGTGAGGTTCCAGCACTGCTCTGTAACGGATTGTGCCAGTCAGGCTGTAGTGTGTTAGTGTCTCCGTTTATGGGAGGTAAAGACACAAAAATTGTATAAAAGGCAAAACCCCATGTTTGGGGCTCAGTCTTTTGGGTATTAACCCAGGGAGGCTGGTGCTGGCTCAGATAAACACCACTTCCTAGAAAGAACCTTAGTGTCCAGCCGTTCTCTGCTACATCACAGCAAATAGATGTTTTAAAAAATAATCTTAAAGGCTGGAAACAGCTGGGCATGGTGGTGCATTCCTGTAATCTTAACACTCGGGAGGCTGAGGCAGGCGAGCACAAGTTCAAGACCATCCTGGGCTACATAGTGAGTTGAAGGCCAGCCTAGACTATAGAGTAAGGTTTTGTCTCAGAAATTCAAATGGTGAGCTGGGGATATAGCTCAGTGGCATGGCCTCTGCCTGGCAAGCTCAAGGTCCTGAGTTCAATTCCTGGCACCAAAAAGAAAATTAAAATGGTGGCACATACCTATAATTACAACATTCTAGGAGGCTGAGGCAGGAGACTGGCAAGTTTGAACCCAAGTTTGTCTCAAAATAAAACTTTTTCGGATTTTAGGGTTTTTTTCTTTTCTTTTTTTGTCTTTGAGACAGGACTTCACTTTCCACTTTAGGCTCACATTGAACTCACTTTGTATCCCAGGCTGGCCTTGAACTCACAGTGAGCCTCCTGCCTCAGCCTCCTCAGAGAGCTGGGATTATAGGTGTGCACCACTACTCCGGCTGCTTTTGGTTTTTTGAGACAGGGTGTCATTATGTAGTCCAGGCTGGCCTTGAACTCATGGGGATTCTCCTGCCTCAGCCTCCCAAGTGCTCAAAAAAGTTTTAAAAGGGCTAGCAATGCAGTTCACTGTGAAGGCTCAGGAATCAATCCCCAGCACCACAAAGGAAAACCACAAGAGGGAGCGTCAGTACCCGGTGGAGGTGATGAAGGCCACGCTTGAGGGAAAGCTAAGCCGAGCCAGCGGGGCTGCGTGCCGTGGGGGCAGTGTGTGTCGGTGTCCCCTCCCAGCAGGACACAGGCCTGACAGCAGTTGGGAAGCTACAGAGGTGGGAATGTTTGCTCGGCACACAGCCTGGGGTCTGGAGGACAGCGGGTGCTAGTCCAGGGCCCCGGCCCCTCACACAGCCTGGGCAGCACTGGTCCAGCTGCTCAGAGGCTCCATGCTGGCCCGAGCTGCGCTGTGGGAAGACTGGATCTGTGCGCACCAGGTAACTGGGTCATTCTCCAGCAACCCGGTCCAAACAGCCTGCAGCTCTTTGCTTGAGAGGTAAAACAGCACTGTCGAACACAAACTGCGCTTTACCACGTCTACAGCACTGCTCTAGAAATTATAGCCATGCCAATTAGAAAAAGGAAAAGCGCTGGCCATGGTGGCTCATGCCTGTAACCCTAGCATTCAGGAGGCCAAGGCAGGAAAATTGCTGTGGGTTCAAGGCCAGTCGACTACGTAGTGAGACTTTGTCTCAAAAAAAAGAAAAAGGAATCAAAGGCATCCAATTTGGAGAAGGAAGTAAAACTGTCCCTATATTTATCTTTTGTTTTTTGTTTTGTTTTGTTTTGTTTTTTTGGTACTGCAAATCACACTCAGGACCCTGCGCTT